CCTGGTGATGGAACCTGGAGATTGTTCCATCCATCATTGTTGCCACTCTTCACAACATCGTAGAACCTCTGGAATGAGGACATGATGGGACAGTATCCAAAATCCCAGGACCATCCTGCAGGATCATAACAAGGCCGTGTTCACACTACGAGTAGGGTTGCCACCTCATCCCTTTCAAACTGAACACATTGATTACATGGGTTCTGTGGCTGATTAAAGTGGTAATTAAACTCCGCGCCTTACCAGCATTAGATTAGCCCCAGAACCCGTGTAATTAATATGTGTTCAGTTTTAAAGGGATGAGGCGGCCACCCTAACTACCAGACAGTTCTCGGGGCTGCAGCTCCTTTGAGCTCCATAAGGTGGTGATCTCATGTCTGCCCAGACAGGAAGTCTCTATGGAAGACAGGAAGTTCCGGGTGAGAGGTGAGTCGGGAGGAAGTAGAGAGGAGACATTGGTGGAAGTGGCAGCAGAGGAGGTAATAAGATCTTATTTTCTATTTACACCCAGTAACCCCCCGTCATGTCCATCCTCTGCCTTAATCGTCATGTCTGTCCTCTTTCTAATTAGTCATGTGCGTCCTCTTCCTCCATCGTCACGTCCATCCTTTTCCTCCAAAATGATGTCCGTCTTCTACTACCGTCGCGTCCGTCCTCTTCCCCCACCGTCGCGTCCGTCCTCTTCTCCCACCGTCGCGTCCGTCCTCTTCCCCCACCGTCGCGTCCGTCCTCTTCCCCCACCGTCGCGTCCGTCCTATTCCTCCACCGTCGCGTCCGTCCTCTTCCTCCACCGTCGCGTCCGTCCTCTTCCTCCACCGTCGCGTCCGTCCTCTTCCTCCACCGTCGCGTCCGTCCTCTTCCTCCACCGTAGCATCCGTCCCCTTCCCCACCGCTGCGCCCATCCCCTTCCCCCACCGCCGCGTCCCGTCCCCTTCCCCCACCGCCGCGCCCGTCCCCTTCCCCCACCGCCGCGCCCGTCCCCTTCCCCACCGCCGCGCCCGTCCCCTTCCTCCACCGCCACGCCCGTCCTCTTCCTCCACCGTCATGTCCGTCCTCTTCCTCCATAGTCACTGTGATGTCTTTTATCTCCAGCAGATGATGATACACACATATATAGTGTGGGAACCCAGATTAACCCCTTCAGGGGCAGAACATCCCCCACTTACGGGGCCGGAACATTCTCCTCATTTTAAAGATGTCACCTTCTCACCTTAGCAGTCTCTTGTAACGAGGGATGGGATTCAGATTTGGGTTGTACTGAAATCTGACTCCATTTCGCAGGATTTTAATTTTGGTTGAATGTTGGGTTGAATAACCTGTTTAGCCGTGATCCTGCTCAGCAGCCAATAGTAGGGAAGGATATGGATAACCTCACCCTTCACTATAAGAGGGGGCCTGAGATCAGCCAATAATGAGGGAAGAATGTGGATATCTCCGTCCTTGATAAAAGAGGGGGTATGATATTACCAAATATTGAGGAAGCAGGTGAATAATCCCATCCCTCACCATAAAAGGAGGTCTGAGATCAGCCTTAGCGTCAGTATTTAGGAGTGGGTTCTTCAGAGCAGGGGAAGGTGGGTCATTGTCTGAGTTCGCCTAAGGAAACCATGCTCCAGGTAGCCAAACAAGTTCCAGCAGCCGATGCTTTCTGTGAGCCGGGCTCCGGTGAGGATTTGGTGGTGGATCATGAAATGTCAGACCACACTTGGGTGTCATAAAGGGAAAATCAGGACATCTCTGAGGGAGAAAAGAAAGAGGGAGAGCCGGGACATGTTGGAAGAGGGAGAAGGTTCTTCAAGAGCAGGAGCACCTCCCAATGGACAGCAGATCATGGCCATCAACAGACATCTGGTGGCCATGGAGTCTTCACTGCTTACGGTACCCTTGTTGCAGCAATTTGGCCTCTACTTGCATTTGAAAAAACATGAAGCTCCCCCAGAGAACTGGAAGGAGCTGCAAGCAAGCAAATCCTGGGAATAGAATGGTGGCTGGAGTTGTCCTATCTCTCTGCATGCAAGTGGTAGGAGATGCGCAGAGAACATGCAACCAACAAGTAACCAGGCAGGAAGGACAAAATATAACAGGTATGAAGGAGCATGAGACACAACACACATTAGGTGACCCAATCTACATGTGCAAATTCCCACTGGGGGCACCCTGCCTATTAACCCCTTATATACCCATCCTAATATTGTACAACCAACTCTATCTACAGAGAAACCAGCTTAGATCACATGACCACATCAAAGAGGATGGAGGAGGACCAGAGTCACCTGACTGAGAGGATGCTAAACCTCACCCTAGAGATCATCTACCTGCTGACTGGAGAGGTGAGGAGGATTCTGGGAGGTCACATGACATCACTCTCATCTCTATTAATAAAACACAGACCTGACCGGAGAGGTGAGGAGGATTCTGGGAGGTTACATGACATCACTCTCATCTCTATTAATAAAACACAGACCTGACCGGAGAGGTGAGGAGGATTCTGGGAGGTCACACGACATCACACAGACCTGACCGGAGAGGTGAGGAGGATTCTGGGATTCTAACATGATGTTCCTATTGGTTCCTCAATACAGAGATTTCCTCTTCTGAAGTCAGGTGATCATATGACCATCACAGTGCCTCCATGTGACTCCCTAAACCCTGAGAGACACAACATGGAGAAGATTCTAGAAGTCACCAAGAAGATGATGGAGCTGCTGACAGGAGAGGTGAGCGGTGCTGGGAATTCTGGGACATTCTCCAGTAACAGACAAGGGATGTGTCTGGATGGTGACTGTATCATTGTGTGTGTCAGGTTCCTATAAGGTGTCAGGGTGTCACTGTCTATTTCTCCATGGAGGAGTGGGAGTATTTAGAAGGACACAAGGACCTCTACAAGGACGTCATGATGGACAATCAGCCGCCCCTCACATCACCGGGTAAGAGGAGACTTTATTGGAAAGGAGAGAGCAGTACGGAGGCTCCACCTAGATCCCCCATCATCTGATAAACACATAGAAACAATGGATTCAGTCAGTGTGTGTGTTTCCTACAGATGGATCCAGTCATGGGAACCCACCAGAGAGATGTCCCCGTCCTCTGTATTCCCAGGATTCCACACAGGAAGGTCACACCATCCCTCACCATCATCAGGTAGATGGATCCAGTCATGGGAACCCACCGGAGAGATGTCCCCGTCTTCTGTATTCCCAGGATTCCACACAGGAAGGTCACACCATCCCTCACCATCATCAGGTAGATGAGGAACAATCACTGATAGTTATGAGTCATATACAAGCTTGATTCTTATATAATGTGTGTTATATACTTAGAGTGGAAACCTTGCGGATTATAATATTGTTAAAGAAGCGTTTAAAGAGGAGGATGAGGAGGATGGTGTGATGAAGGAACTTTCTGGAGGACACAAGGATCTCTATAAGGATATCATAATGGTGCCACTTAGTAGCAGAAACCCCCCAGAGAGATGTCCCCGTCCTCTATATTCCCGGAATTCCACACAGGAAGATCACACCATCCCTCACCATCATCAGGTAGATGAAGAACAATCAGTTGTGTTGGTAGTTAATATTTATACAGAAATGTGTTAGAATGTATGTTTTATTATTCAGAGTGGAAACCTCCAGGATTATATTATTGTTGTGAAAGAAGAGTTTAAAGAGGAGGATGATGAGTATGGAGTGATGATGGAGTTTTTTCTGAAGCTTATAATGACATCTGCAAGGACAATATGATGGAGCCACCTAATACCAGGAACCCACCAGAGAGATGTCCCCGTCCTCTGTATTCCCGGGATTCCACACAGGAAGGTCACACCATCCCTCACCATCATCAGGTAGGTGGAGTTGAGGGTCGGGAACATAAAGTGATGGAACACTCTGACATGTGGAGACGATGTGTGGACTCTACAAGATGAGATGTTCTATGTGATCTCACATCATAAATCCTTCTATGTTACAGATTTTATTTTCTGCCATTCTGTTGGTTTAGGGTGAAGATCTGATAAACATGAAAGTTGAGGGTGAAGTAGAAGAGACGTATGTGAGGGATGATCAGCAATATACGGAGGAGGCTGGAATGAGGAGGACATTCATAGAGGAGGACACTCCTACAGAGATCAGCACAGGTGACCATGCTATATTCCTCTCTTATCTCTGCTCTGTTCCTCCCCCCCAGCCCCCATTGGTTCCTGCTCCTCTGACAAGGCGGTGTAAATGTAGAAGTGATCTGCAAGGAGGAGCAAAGGCCTTTTGACTGAGGAGGGATAGAATCCCAGCTGGTTGAGACATCCACAGAGAACATCTGCTCCCTCCTATCTCCCTGATACAGATGGAATCTTGATGGAAGTGAACTAACCCTCTCCTATCTATTGATGATGTTTTTCTATTTTTCCAGGACCCGCCATGGAGAAACCCTCAAAGGATCGTCTCACTTTATCTCCAGGTTGTAAAATGGAAGATGAGGACATCCCAGGAGATTGTGCCGGAGAAAAGACAATGAGCTCCACTATGGATGGTGGACTTCCCAGTGTGGAGAGATCATGGAATCCCTCGGACTCTGAGCAACCTCGTACTGTGGGGGATGGGGCCGGGTTTCCATGGGCCGGAGAAAAGACAATGAGCTCCACTATGGATGGTGGACTTCCCAGTGTGGGGAGACCATGGAATCCCTCGGACTCTGGCAACCTCATACTGTGGGGGATGGGGCCGGGATTCCAAGTGCCAGAGAAAAGACAATGAGCTCCACTATGAATGGTGGACTTCCCAGTGTGGGGAGTCCATGGAATCCCTCTGACTCTGAGCACCCTCGTACTGTGGGGGATGGGGCCGGGATTCAGTGGGAGAAGAAAGTTTCCTGTCCTGAGTGCGGGCAATGTTTTAGCTCTGATTTAAGTCTTTCTATACATCAGAGGTCCCACATGGGCGATAGGATTCATTCCTGTTTTGAGTGCGGGGAATGTTTTTTTTCATATAGGAGAATTCCTCAAACATCAGAGATCTCACACAGGGGAGAAGCCGTATTCCTGTCTTGAGTGCGGGAAATGTTTTTCAGAAAAGGCCACTCTTTCCATACATCAGAGATTGCATACAGGAGAGAAGCTGTACTCTTGCTCTGAATGCGGGAAACGTTTTACTCGGAAACACATCCTGGTTAGTCATCAAAGATCTCACACTGGGGAGAAGCCGTATTCCTGTTCCGAGTGTACAAAGCGTTTTACGCGGAAATCCGATCTTGTCGAACATCAGAGATCACACACGGGGGAAAAAAAACCGTTTTCCTGTTCTGAGTGCGGGAAATGTTTTTCACGAAAATCCAGTCTTACTGATCATCAGACGTGGCACACGGGGGAAAAGCTGTTTGTCTGCAGTGAGTGCGGGAAATGTTGGCCGCGGAAATCAGCGCTTGTTAAACATCAGAGATCTCACACGGGGGAGAAGCCGTATTCCTGTCTAGAGTGCGGGAAATGTTATACAAAGAGAAGTTATCTTATCAATCATCAGAGAACCCACATACCCCTCAAGTTTTATTAGTGTCCTGAGTGCTGTAAAGGTCTTCTGTTTGAGACATTTTTTGCCGTACTTTGGGCACCTCGCACTGGGAAGAAGTACTCCTTGAGATACGTTCCCGAAGAAGTGTGGGAGCTTCATACTACCTTGGCATGGTCTTCTTCCTTGGTTTGGAGGCCACTTTTCCAGGTTCTCTCTTCTCTTTTCTCTCTACTTTGGATATTCCTCCTTTCTTGTGCTCCTTCTCCTTTCATGGTTTTCCTTCCCAGTCTTTACTCTCCTTTTTTCTTTCTCCTTTCCCTTCGTTTTAGATTTTGTTTTTTGCTTGTTTTGGTTTTCTCCACTGAGATCCATCCTAGAGGCCACATGAATGTAGTTCTATGTTTTTGGAACTTTTGAATTGCATATCTGCTTCATACTGCACAAAGGGGAGACCACGTTGAGGCCGGGGAACCCTTCTTGACATCCGCTCTTTTTAGGAAGTCCCCAATACAACGTCTTTACTTGTGGAATTTAAGAATTTCTAGGTGATAGGCTTGTCTGCTTAAAGGCCCCCCTGTCTGACAACCCCTCTTTGGAAGTCTTTTTACAACCCCTATTTGGAAGTGATATGCATGACAACCCCTCCTTTGGAAGTGATATGCCTGACAATCCCTCTTCGGAAGTCATATGCCTGACAACCCCTCTTCGGAAGTCATATGCCTGACAACCCTCTTCGGAAGTCATATGCCTGACAACCCCTCCTTCGGAAGTCATATGCCTGACAACCCCTCCTTCGGAAGTCATATGCCTGACAACCCCTCCTTCGGAAGTCATATGCCTGACAACCCCTCCTTCGGAAGTCATATGCCTGACAACCCCTCCTTCGGAAGTCATATGCCTGACAACCCCTCCTTCGGAAGTCATATGTCTGACAACCCCGTCTTCGGAAGTCATATGTCTGACAACTCATCTTCGGAAGTCATATATGTCTGACAACTCATCTTCGGAAGTCATATGCCTGACAACCCTCCTTCGGAAGTCATATGCCTGACAACCCCTCCTTCGGAAGTCATATGTCTGACAACCCCGTCTTCGGAAGTCATATGTCTGACAACTCATCTTCGGAAGTCATATGCCTGACATCCTCTCCTTTGGAAGTCATATGCCTGACAACCCCTCCTTTGGAAGTCATATGCCTGACAACCCCTCCTTTGGAAGTCATATGCCTGACAACCCCTCCTTTGGAAGTCATATGCCTGACATCCCCTCCTTTGGAAGTCATATGCCTGACATCCCCTCCTTTGGAAGTCATATGCCTGACATCCCCTCCTTTGGAAGTCATATGCCTGACATCCCCTCCTTTGGAAGTCATATGCCTGGCAGCCCCTTCTCGGAAGTCATATGCCTGACAACACCGTCTTTGGAAGTCATATGTCTGACAACCCCTCTTCAGAAGTGATAGCTCAGCCTGGGATACCAAGACATGACGTTTATGATGCATAGTTTATAACTTTTTTCAACAAAATAAGTCTATCCAAGTGCAATGCTTAAAAATGACTCAAAAAATTCAAAATCAAGACAAAAAGTCCAAATTTCCATCAGTAAAAATATGTGCATGGTGTCCTACACCAACCACTTTGACAACCACATGAGAAGACAAATAGCTCTCCACATCTCACAGAATGGTTTTCCCCTCCATCTTCATCAGGGTCAGAGCACATGGCATTACATGACCGTGCCCCTGATGACGTCATTTATGACAAAACGTGTTGGGCGGAACTGGATGCCGTGACATCACAGGATTGCTGAAGATTCTCAGTTTAATGAGAATTACTATACACCATGCCGATGTGTTTCCAACTGAGTGCCTGCTGGATTTACACAACTAGGAGCAGTTTTTGCTCTTTTTTTCATGTCGTGCTCTGACCCAGATGGTGGGGGGAAACCGTTCTGTGAGTTCTGGAGTCCTGTGGTGGTTCACTATGAACTCATTGGTGGATGCTGGGAAGCATGAATATTTTCACCGATGATGCTTTGGACTTTTTGTTATCATTTTGATTTGTTTGAGTAACTTGTTAAGCGCTGCACTTGTATATATTTATTTTGCTGTGTAGTGTATCCTATTTTGTGCGCTGGCTTCCAATCACTAATATGTTTCCTCTAGCGCTGTATTTTATTTGTTTTATAAGCTAATGTATAATTTCACTGTCTCTTTTTTGCTACTTCATCTGCTGTTTACATGTTTCTCTGTTAGAAAAATATCAAATACTACATTAAAAAAGTAAAAAAACATGTTTTTGACTCTGCCTGTTTGCAGTTCACAGATTGGCTGAACTCTGTAGCCCACCCATGTGTACCTCCTGGAGGAAGCAGCAGAAAGTCATTCACTTATTGGTGTTCTTGCAACCTTTACTGTGACAACTTCCTGCTGTGAAGGTCACTAGAGCCATTGGTTGGCATGATGCCAGCAGCTGCTGCCTTGAAAACGAGATGGCGAGCATCCTGGGTGATGTCCTTGACCAAATATGGTCGTGAACTTATTTGTCCAATGACACCAGCCAGCTCCCAGGCCCATTTGTTTACATTCAGAGGCTGGGAGTTGTCATTCGAGATGAGGAGGACCACAGCAGATGTTTGCCATGCTGGTTGGCCTTTACTTTAATGGCCCCCCAGTCTTAGTCCGTAGGGTTCAATATTGAGGTGGCCCTGCCCTTTGCAGCTATAACAGCTTCAACTTTTCTGGGAAGGCTGTCTACAAGGTTTAGGAGGGTGTCTATGGGAAGGTTGGACCATTCTTCCAGAAGCACATTTGTCAGGTCAGACACTGATGTTGGGGGAGGAGGCCTGGATCGCAGTCTCTGCTCTAATTCATCCCAAAGGTGTTCTATGGGGTTGAGGTCAGGACTCTGTGCAGGCCAGTCAAGTTCCTCCAGCTAAAACTCACTCAACCATGTCTTTATAGACCTTGTTTTGTGCACTGGTGCGCAGTCATGTTGGAACACGAAGGGGCCATCCCCAAACTCTTCCCACAAAGTTGGGAGCATGAAATTGTCCAAAATGTCTTGGTATGCTGACGCCTTATGATTTCCCTTCACTGGAACTAGGGGTCAAGCCCAAACCCTGAAAAACAACCCCACACCATAATCCCCCCCTGAAAAAAATTTACACTTGGCACAATGCAGTCAGGCAAGTACCGTTCTCCTGGCAACCGCCAAACCCAGACACGTCCATCGGATTGCCAGACAGAGAAGCATGATTGGTCACACCAGAGAACACGTCTCCACTGCTCTAGAGTCCAGTGACGGCGTGCTTTACATCACGATATCCAATGCTTTCCATTGCACTTGGTGATGGAAGGCTTGGATGCAGCTGCTCGGCCATAGAAACCCATTCCATGAAGCTCTCTACGCACTGTTGGTTGGCTCATCTGAAGGCCACACCAAGTTTGGAGGTCTTTAGCTATTGACTCTGCAGACAGTTGGCGACTTCTGCGCACTGTGCGCTTCAGCATGCGCTGACCCCGCTCTGTCATGTGACGTGGCCTACCACTTGGTGGCTGAGTTGCTGTTGTTCCCAGTTGCTTCCACTTTGTTATAATCCCACTAACAGTTGAGCGTGGAATATTTAGTAGCCAGGAAATGTCACGGATGGACTTATTGCACAGGTGGTCACCTATCACGGGACCACGCTTGGAGTCACTGAGCTCCTGAGAGCGACCCATTCTATACACCAATGTTTGTAGAAGCAGTCTGCATGTCTAGGGGCTTGATTTTATACACCTGTGGCCATGGAGGGGATTGGAACACCTGAATCACATGATATGGAGGGCTAACCCAATACTTTTGGCTATTAAGTGTAGTTTTTGGCCTATCAACCTTTTGTCAGTTATGACTTCATATGACCATCTGCAACACACACTGCCACCACAGATGAGTATATCCAGAGGTTTACATTAAAGTAGCGCTCTTCAAGAGATAACAGGACAGCCTAGGCTAAGAGGTTCCAACTGTTGGCCACTCATAAGTGACAGTTGACATCCATTTGGCCTTTTTATGACCCACCCCAAGAAATGCTCCATGATATAGCCACTACACAGTCACTGCTGAGACAGCTCTCTTCCTCCAGATGGAAGAGTAGTCTAAGGCAGGCACGAGTGCCTTCAGAAGTCTCCACCAGGCACAAATCGTCATGTAATTGAAGTGACTACTTGGGAAAAGTGCATTTGAATAACAGCTTGACAATTGACAAGCTGCCCAGAAAAATATCAGATCATAAAAAGCCAGTAAATCATGGTGTAGTTAAGAATCGACTTTATTGACTGGGATACCAGGGAGAGAACCCTCAAAACCGAGTGGCTGTTGAGTTGCCCGTGTGTGTTGACATGTATGCATCTATGACATGGGTGTCAAACTGGCGGCCCTTCAGCTGTTGCCAAAGTACAAGTCTCATGAGGCATTGCAAGATTGACAGTTACAAGCATGACTCCCAAAGGCAGAGGCATGATGGAACTTGTAGTTTCACAACAGCTGGAGGGCCCCCAGTTTGACACCCCTGAGCTATACCAATATACAGCACATACACAGTGCATTGCTATACCAACACACTCTAGCCCCATTGTTCATGTCATTGAACGTTAAAATAGGCTCCATTTGTAGAGTCAGTGGAATAAAGTCTCATTGTTGGTGACGGGAATAAAATATGTCATATCGTTGGCATCAGTGGGAGAAAATAAACCCCTTCATTGGCGTCAATGGAATAAAATTAGTCCCACCATTGGCGTCAGTGGAATAAAATTGGTCCCACCATCGGCGTCAGTGGAATAAAATTGGTCCCACCATTGGCGTCAGTGGAATAAAATTAGTCCCACCATTGGCGTCAGTGGAATAAAATTAGTCCCACCATTGGCGTCAGTGGAATAAAATTAGTCCCACCATTGGCCTCAGTGGAATAAAATTAGTCCCACCATTGGCGTCAGTGGAATAAAATCAGTCC